ATTTTTTGTGTAGACTTCTACTGGCTGTTATCAGGTATATCTGATTGTGTACAATAGGATTTTGAGCAAAGTATTTACCATTAAATCATGCAAAAGGTCTCAGATGCTAAATATTTCAGAAACCGTATGTATCAAATACGATACATTTGGCATTATAGGGCTAAAGCACTTTGCACTAAATTCAGACCTTTACTCATTCACATCCTGCTAGTGGGAAGCGACTGAGAGAAGCAAGGCAAGGCAAGTGAACTGACTTGCCCAAGGATACAACAACAGAGATGGACAGAGTGGGAGGCTTAAACTGCCAACTCACTTGTTATAGGGCCTATCCTTACATCGCTTAAATGTGCTTGTTTGACAGCTTTCCAAAAAAACGTCTCACTAAATTGCATGTTGGTCATGTATTGTTACCAGTTAACATTAACAGTACAACATTAACAGTACAACATTGTGGGTTAGTATGAGTCTCATCTGAGTGCATTGTAATCTTAAGATGGAAGGTTTTACCTGCATAATTAGTTGGGTTGAGCAACTAGAGAGTTTTACAATTTCACGTTTGACATCATAACACTTGTATTTTTGTTGCAGCCTTATTCTTTATGAAATGTTAATTTTGATATTTTGCACTTTTCACATTTCTTTATCCATGTAACATTATTGATGTGATCAAGTGGGGAAAGGCTGAGTTGCATTTCTGCATTAAATATACATTGATTTTGATATTAATCATGTGACCAACAAACAACAGTTTTGTTAATGATTAAAAACAGGCACTGAATCTGAAAGGAATCCTACGTCCCAAACCCATGCTTGTTTCTACAATCGTTGCGTTTTCTTGGACTGGGAAAATGTTTTCTATAAATCAAAGTTCAAAGCTTAGTCTGTTGCGAATTATAGCTTCGTTTTCATGATCTCCATGACATACGAGGTCAAAGAAGCATCTTGTCTAAGATATAATGGAAATATTTAGTAATATAAGGGAGGAAGTGACACACCCTTAGCTGATCATCACTCTAAAAGGAATTGTTATTGATCCAGATGACTCTGAGCAGATCAGTAGCCTACTCATGTGTCTTTGCTTTTTGATAACAGTATTTAAACCAGGTCTGATAAAACCTTTAACTCTGATCTCTTCACTGCTTCCTTCAACTCTGGTTGAGGTTCTCAGTGTTATTAATGGTTAACTTTATGTTTTTCCTTATTCTTTATTGTTCTGTTTCATTTTTTATCTCTCATAGTGTAACCTTTGCCAGAAAACGTGTCTCCAGACTGTGTCTTTGATTGGCTCTGTATATAAACAGAGCCAGTTATCTACCCATAGAGAGTGGAATGACAAATGTAAGTGCTGTAAAACCCAGAAGGAACCGTTAAGAAAGCCTGATTTACAGACACTGTTTGGCAGTTTTATTGTCGCACTAATGTGGTGCGTAGCATGCTGATCCTCATGAGGATGTGCTCGTCTCCAGATGCTTGACCGCAGCTTTTGTTTAGAGTTGCCGTCTCTCTCTGTGTCTTCTGGGTGTGTGTTTAGTTTGTTTGTGTGTGTTGGTAAGCTTTTCTTGTGCAATTTTAATCTGTGTTAATTGGTTTGTTTGTCTGGATGTGGGTGTGCAGGGCTTTTAGCAGAGCCTAAACACAGGAGAGGCAGTCTGTGTGTTGGTCTTTGGTGGAAACCTGTGGAATTTCTCAGTCACATCCAAAATTGCATTTGGGGTTTAACCCGAGACAGACGTATGTGCGTGTATCTGTGTGCGAGTGGATGAATCAGAGGGAAACTTCCTGGAAAAAAAAGAAACTTGACATCGTCTTTTCCATTGTAACCCAAATTACCCACCCTTTATATACTCACAGTCTTCTTTTTTCTCTGGAGTTTTTGTTTATACTTTACTCTACAGATGTTGTTGCAGTGTTTTGCTATTGTGTTTGCCCTAAGAATTTTAAACACATGTTGACAGTAAGCCACTACAGCAGCCAAAGCAGTTGTTAAAGTTCAAGTTTCGGAAACCCTCCTCCCCCTGATGATTTAGCATAAGTTCCTATTAAAGATTGCTTCCTCTGTGCTTCTCCTCTTGAATAAACATTTGCTTCACCATTGTTGGTTTAAAACACTAATATCTCAGTACACAATGGATCTCAGTGCATTCAATGGAATTAAAGAGAATACAGCAGAATGTAAATATCAAATATTTAGGATATCCTGTTTGTGAAGTTATAGAAAATGCATTGCTTTATTTTGTATGTATTGCACAATTCAGACTAAGTACTTTGAGATAATATATTTCGAGATTAATGGCTGATGCCCATCTTTTTTGGGGTTTCTGTCCGGGTCATAGGCTAAAGAGATCCAAATCCCTTCAGATTTAGCTCTTGACTACTTCAAGCAAACACAAGAGAAAGCTCCACTCTACAACGGGGATTCATCCTGGTTGAACTCTCCCACGCTCCCACATTCTAAAACTTCCTGCCATTCTATATGATAAACGAACAATAAGAAGTGTGTCAATATGTATAGGAAAGCAAGTATCCAGGGCTTAAAATTATTATTCAGCCTCTTTTATTCTTGAACGTCATTAGAAGTCATTCAGTGAGCAGGTAGTTTCACCATAGATAAACTTTTTATCTCTTTATGTTTCAGTCAAGTAAAATCATTTTTAAAATGCCCCTGATCACCGTAGGACTATAGGTACATGTGTTAAATTCTGATTTTGTTCTTCCCACATGGTAATAAATCTTTCAGTTTTTTATTTTTTTTAATTTATTCTTTTAGGACCTCCATTATGTAGGTTGGGATTCTCAGTTATCTCATGAGCAGTGTTTTTTATGTAGGTTATTTGACTCGAGTCAAGCCTCCCAGTGCATGTATCGGAATACCTATTAAACTCTATAGTTTTTATCTTTCTCTCTCTCTAAGAGAGAGAAATCAAGCTTTAATATGCTTTGTGTTCATAGCAAAAAAAATGCAGTATGCTGTCATTTCTCCCTTGATGTCTTAATCTAAGTGCGCCTTGGCTGATGTCTCTGTGTGTTTTGCCGTGTCTCCCTCTCTCCAGGCCCTCTGCATAAATGTGCAGTGCAGTGATTTGTTGGAGACGCTGAGCCTGATTTTCTGCGGCGCAGATGTGAATTGTTCAACCGGCATGGCAAGTTGTCCAACCCCTGAGTCCCTGGCCAGCGCTCACTCCCAGCCCCTGCAGGCCGAGCTACTTCGACATAACCTCAACACAGGTACAGCATTTGTTCACTCCTTGTGTACCAACAAGATGAGCAAACCTAAAAGCAGTGGATACCAAGTTCATGACATGAAGAGGCTGATATTCTTCCTGATTCATGCCTTTTACATGTCAGTGAGTTAGATAAGAGATACAGATAACACTGCATAAACAATCTTTAACATTCCCTATGAACATTCTTAAATACCTCATGATCATATCAGCATCTTAAACTTCCTTGTCCTTCTTGTAACAGCTATAGTTTTGTTTTGGTCAATATAATAATCTGCAGATAATCTGCAATAGGGGCAAACTTTGAAGTTTCTTTAAAGCTTTATCAGTATATATTCTTGCTCATTTTGGGCTTCTCTGTTCTTCTTTTTGTTTTTAGAGCTTCCCCAGCTACAGGTGGATGGGGGTATGGATCTGGAACATTACCAACCACCACCTACTGTGTCTTACAATGGATTTCTGCATAAAACGGCGTCCATGGGGCGGGCGGTCACCGAACGCAAAGTAAAAGAGGGTGCGTGTAAAGATCCAAGAAACAATAATAACTGTCCTAAATAATACATTAGAATTTTATTTAGCATATATGAAACTGAATAACAAATAACTTTTACAAACAAATTGAAAAAGGAAAAGGTTAAAAATAACCTTCTGTAAATCTCTGTCCTTCTGTTCAGACTTTAGTCGCCGCTGGTGCACGTTGAATGACGGCACCTTCAGCTACTATGAAAGTGACAAGAACGCGATCCCTAACGGGACGCTGAAGGATTCGGATATCGTCTGTTTGGCCGTCGATGCGCCTGATAAACACGGGTATCCACACATGCTTATGCTACAGCTACTGCTGTGAATACAGTCCAAACCGGATATTTAAATACGCTGCACAGAAAGACGCATATCGAACAAAAAGAAAATTATTTTAATGAAATTATTACTTTAAATTCAAAATGACCATTTTCTAAGCCTACTACTTCTTTAAGCTATTTGTGAAGACAATATGAGGATGTCACAGCTTTCTTTAAGTTAAATAGAGGCATACCAGGAATGTACAGTATGCTAGTGAACACATAAACAATGCTTCCTTGTTTGACATCAGGGGGAAATCCAAAGAAGTCAGTCAAGATATCAGTAGAACATTGCAAAATACATTTCAATCTAAGGCAGTTTTTCTCAGAATAAGTGTATTTTTTTGGCATTGGCCAGAATATTAGACTTGGCCCAAAGGACCATTATCTAACAGATTAGCTACAAGGTGAATTAGGGGCAACAGAGTCAGTGTTTTGGAGTGGACCTTCACAAAGCCCTGATTTCAGCCCTGTTGAAAATACACCTGCAAATCTAAAAAGGTATAAGAGAACAAAATAGCCTTCAAGCCCTTCTCTGTCAGGAGAAATTGGTCAATGGAAAATCACACAACATTTGACCAAAGTAATATGATATAAAGGCTACCAAATACTAAAAAATTTTTTTAAACAGATGAATTTGAATAAAGTAAAAAAGTAGTTGTTATTTTGGCATTCAATTGAGAGAAACAATTTTTGCTAGTCCTAACTAAACGAAAACATTTAAACTAATTTGATTGGAGACAAAAAGGAGAAAATGTGTCTTTTTCTGTAAAGAATATAAATATATGGTTTCAGCTGTAAATATAGATAAACTAATGAATTAATGAATAGCTAGTTTTTTGTAGTTTCTATTATATCCTGTAATACTAATGCTAATCAGAAGCTAACTCCAAAAAAGTGTGTAATTATAGAACTGGCAATATGTTTTTTTAATAAATATTAAAAATTTTAGTCAAGAAGAGTATGGAAGAAGACGTTTGATGTCTGCTGTGATTTTTCTACAGCATTGTTTTGCTTCACTCTTTTTTTGATCCCTTTCCAACCTTCAGGTTTGAGTTTACCTTTGAACTCTACTCAGAGTCTGACCGCCTTTACCTGTTTGGCACTGATGATCCAGACAGCCACAAGGAGTGGGTCAAGTGTATCGCCAAGGTAACGTATCTGCCATCAAGGAAACAATTATTATGCATGTTATTATTTGCAGAGCACTGCAGAAATAGAAGACATTCAAATGATACCAAGAAGGAAAAAAGCTAGAGCTGATGGGGAAAATCCTGTTTCATGCTTTTTTTTTGTTGTTGTTTTTTTTGAGCTGACATCATTTAATGATGTTGTGAAATAAATCCCTTTTCCTCTGACTCCTTCCTGTTAGCTGCTGAAAGCCAGTAAATATTTAATGTAGAAATCAAACCATCAAAGAGTTTGCCATATAAATTCAACAGCAAGGTCCAGCAGAAATAAAACAATGTTGAGGAGTTCTGCCAAATGATAGACTGTTGCCTTTTATAAACAGCCACAGTTCTCTTTGTATGTCTAACAGCAGTACATGTAAAGTTTCATTATTGAATAAATAAAGGAAAACGAAGGCATTTGTTATGCAATGTCTCTCTAATTCTTTTTCTCCTGTCTGTAGAGCTTTATTCCAGCTTCCGCAGAGCCTTTGCTGAGGCTTAGCTTTGAGCGGATTGGACGGCTGAAGTGTAAAGACGGCTTGAATTTGCAGCAATCCAAGGTGGGCTGGTTCGCTCTGACTGGCTCTACTCTTCACGTCTACCTGGAAAAAAACAAGGGCGAGGAAATCCACCTGCGTAAACTCAACGAACTTTGTAAGTAAGGCAACAATCCCTAAAGGGAGCAAACAATGTTGCTGAGATGCAATGATAATCTTTTCTTCTCCATTTTACAGCAATTCAACAAGACAATGAAGTGTTGGTTCTTGTGGAGAAAGGCAGGTGAGGTGTCAGTGTTGTATTTATTATGCTTATATGCAGCTTCAAGTAGCTTTGCTTTTGTTTCATGCAAGCAGGGATACAGAATAAAGCAGAAAAACGTCTGAATATATCCATTTCCTGCAGCTTGAAAAATACATCCATAAGAACAAGCTCCTTGTGAGAGATTGAGAGAAACAAATAAAATGCTGTATTTTTCCTCCTCTTTCCTTGTTTTTTCTGTTTTATGAAGGACTCTGTACATTGAGGGAGAGAGGAAGTTGGACTTTGCTGGCTGGTGTGCCGCCATCCAGGCAGCTGCAGGGAGCGGCGGAGACACGCTGAGCCAGCAGCAGCTCACAGAAACAGATATACCCGTCATAGTGCTGAGCTGCATCGACTACATCACACAGTGCGGTAAGACATGTATAGTCTGCACACATTGGTTTAGAAAAAGAGTTTGGAAAGAATCTCTTTACATCTTTGTTCCCTAGAAATCTCTGATTATAAAGTTCTCCAAAAATTCTGGCATTTTAACACTTCAAGCATCTCTATTCTGGGTTGTGACATAATGAGGACAAGGGAGGGAACAATGATATCCGTCAGAGTTGAAAAGGTTTTTCTTTAAAGATGTAAAAAAAAATCCCCCTTCTAGACACTTTTAGTCTTGATTCCTTTTTATTTTGAAAAAAAAAGATTGCTGCTGTAAAAGAAGCCTGGAGTAAAGCGCCGCTTTGTATAAATACTATTAAACAGTGGAACCATTTTAATTTTTACTGCCAATCAGTAGATACATGTACCTTTGCAGCTCTAGAATTATGTGTCTGTTGGACATATTTCAGGTGAAACAAAAGTCTTTTTAGGCGACAAACCCCCTGATTAAACCATAAACTCCCTTATTATTAATTCTCCGTCCAAATTGGGTAAACCTGGGCACTGGGTGTGGATTTCTGCTGTAATTTTATTGTGAAGCTTTCTTTCTATACTGGTAACTATTGGTCTGAATTGTCAGATAAATCTGCATGTTTATGCTTGGAAAACAATAATTCATTATAGATCAGATTTCATAGCATTGGTCTGTTTCATGACGCAGGTTTAACAAACTCAGATTCAAATCCACCACTCTAAATTGATCTAGCCTAATGTCTGGAACTCAGATTTTTCGGTTTCACAACGGCTGCTATAAATTAGTTCAATCAACTCCAAGAAGAACCACTCAGAGTTTAGCACGTGCGTAACAACTATGAAAAGTCATTATCAGTGGAGCACCGATTCGACAAGTCACCATTACAATGGGCAACAGGAAGTGCCTGTTTCACAACAGTAATGAGAGATTTTAATGCAGAGAAGAAAAAAGCGCTACAGCTGCAGAGAAGAAGAAAATGGTGAAGGAGAAGATTGTTGTTCAAGTTAATGCTTAAGTTTATATGAAGTGGATGATGGTAGGCCGTCTTTACATTTATTAAAAGCACTCTCCTCTCTGTTGTTCCATTTGTAGATCACTAAAATAAGATTCTTGCTAATAAAAATCACACTCCTAGACTGACCTATAATATTACATTTTTTAAATCGCATTTTTTTTTTTTTTTAACCAGAAACTGAATTTTAGAAAGTAAAAAAAAAACAAAACAAAATTATACTGGTAAGAATTACGTTTTATATATCTAGAAATGTTTACACATATTAAGTGGCCATCTTGACATTTATCAGCTTGACTGAATATAGATTTATAATATCTGAAATAAATTTCTACATAGTCAAAATAAAACAAATGCTGACCAGTAATATTAGGACTATTGGAGATCTGAAATTAATTTATAGACATCCAGGATGTTTATTCTAGATGTGAAGAATGTCGTTTTGTTTGAAACAGTCATTTAGACATAGAAAAAAATGTTTTTTTCAGATAAGTAAAACTAGTATGTATCAAAATGGCCTGCCATAGTCTGTTGTGACCGCGATAATATTAGGGAATTATTTCTTGAATGGTAATAGATCATTGTATCCATATAGGTGAAATATTCTGGCAGCAGATGAAAAAGAAGTCTAAAAATTTTGTTCGTCTGGCAATGTGGCAATAAGAATAATTGTCTTGATGCCAAAAAGAGCCCAACAGATTTTACTTTCACAAGTGGAGCAGTATGGCAATTGCCACACTGCTCCACTTGTTTCATGCATATAAATTGCTTTATTATAATTATGCTGGGAGTTTTACAGTTTATACGGACACTGCAATGTAAATAGAGCAGAAAAACAGAAGAAGAAAAAGG